ATTCTAATAGGCTTAAGGTAATAATAAGAATTACTATTAATTCCTACTGTATACTTTTAATAAAGTACTTAAGCTTATTATTTATTATTACTTAGATTTTACTTAAATATATTAAGGCTAGCTTAATATTTAAAAGCATTAGGCTAAGGGTAAAATAATTAAAGCTAGTAGTAAGTAGTCCTTAATATTAGCTTTAATAAGAGGTATATTTAAAAAGATAAGGTTAATAGGTTTATAATAATATTTAAGGTATTTAATAGGCCAAGGCCATTTTCTAATACCTAGGAGGTAATTATATAGCTATAGTTTATAATTAGGCCTAATTACTATATATAATATCTAGTATTAAAGGTACCTACTATAAGGTAGTAATTAGGAATTAGTTATTATAATAAAGTATTTAATATATCCTATTTATTATTTTAATAATAAATGTTATTTATTATTATATTATTAACTATAAGCTATAAGATATTATAGCTTTAATATAATTAATTCTAATATATTAAAAGTATAAAGTCTTAGTAGATATATATTATAACTCTAGGTTAAGTAAAATTATTATTTTAAGTTTTAACTAAGAAGTAAGTATTATATATAAGATAGGTTTTTATAAGGTAGTAGGAGTTTGCTATTATTATCTATAGTTCTTAGAGAAGTATAATATTATATTATTTATAGTCTACTAATATAAAGGCATAGTTATAGACTAGGGGAACCTTACTAATATTAACTTAAAAGTCCTTAAAAGTCTTTTTCTTATATCTTTATACTTACAGGCGCCTACTTATGCCTATAATTATAAAGACATATAATTAGGATAATATAGCACTTCCTTAGGGACGTAGGTCTTAGGTACTTAGGTTCCTCCTCTGCCTTAGGGGTAGTAGCTACTATAATATAAGATAGCGCTCTTAATATAGCTAGACTAAGAGCCTAAGGGCTTAATCTTTTTAAGGACCTGGCGCTATCCTACTATAGGCTATCTTACTATAAGTTAGGTATATATTATTATACTTTTATATTATACTAGTAAAATATTATAATTCTTATAACTTAAATATAATCCCTTTATTTTTTAATTAGTTAGTAGAAAATGCTATATACCTTTTTTAAATATACTAAGCAATTAGTAAAATTAGTATAATATAAGCTAAGGTAGTTAATATATTACTTAAGGGTAATATAGTCCTTAGAGTTATAGCTAGTAGCCTTGTTATAGCGTTTATATAGGGGGAGTTAATAGTAAGTATATAATAGGTAGTAATTTAAATATATATTATACTGCCTTAGTTAATCAGTTTTCTTAATAAGCCTTACTAGTTAGCTATTAAAGAGGTATTAGTATTTCTTAACTAGCTTTAAAAAGAATTTAATTAAGGTTTTTATTAAAAGGTTATTAGGTTAATGCTATACAGGCTATATACTAATAGGTTTTTGCCTTATTTAAGTTTCTATTTCTTTATCTATAGCTATATTACTATCTGCTTTATTACTATAGAGGTCGGTTAGCTTATAAGGGTAATCTAAGACTAGGTAGGTAAACCAGTCCTGCCTAGTCTCTACAGCGGCGGCCCCTAAGTCAGGTGCCTATTTAGTCTATCTCTACATAAGGAGGTCGCAAGTAGTTATATCAGTAGTAAGGACGGCCTATCTAGACCTGACTTAGAGTATGCGCGGGATCTTATGTAGATCTACTCTGAGTTTCCGGGATATATAGGCCCTAGTTGGAGCTTCGGCATCTAGACAGATAAAGACATAGAGGTCTACTTAGAGTGGGGCGCCTGTAGTCGGTTGTCCCTGGCGATGAGGGGGCTGTTGTTATTAACGTTATTGTTAACGGTGTCGGGGTTGGTGGGTAAGGGCGTTGTTTGCAGCCGGGGGCGAGGCCGCGATGGCGCTATCTCTTTGAGCGGCACAAGGCCTCAAACATGTCACGACAGGGGGCAGGCGCCAATCAAAATGGCCGTGACGATCGGTACCTTCGACCACGCCTATGTTTGCGTGTGATAGAAGTACTAACAGTTAGCATTATTATAAATCGCTATATTACATACTTTATAGCCATATCGGGTCCTTACCCTTTATTTATTTCCTAATATCGGCTATAAATAGCCTTCTTTTTTTTTTCTTTTTTTTAAGGGTTAAGGCTGCCCTTACTAGTAACCTTTATAAGCTAGGTAGGGGGAATATTTACCTCTATAAATATAATTAATATCTCTTTATAAGTAATTTTGCTATACTTCTATATTATTATTATCTTCTTCCTTCCCTATATAACCTCTCTTCCTTATATAACTATTAGATATATATTTATTAAAAATAGTATTATAAATAGCCTCTTTTTAAGCTTAAAGTATATTATAAGGCTTTTAATAAGGCTATTAGGTCTTCTTTTATAAAATAAAGCTATTTATAAGTATAACTTTAAGGAGGAAAGACTAAAGTAATGCCTATTAAGGACTATACTAGAATTAATATTAATATATTATATAAGACCTTATTTAATTACTATAGTTTATATAATTTATTTTAATATTATATTAAGCAGTAATAGTAAGAATAAGGATTATTTTAAAGCTATTACTATTAAAGACCTACTGCAGGCATTATGCCTCTGCCTTTATGCCTCTTTTAGCAGGTAACTTCCTCTTTATTAATATATGCTTATAAGGGGCTTTGCTATATATAGTTAAAAGGAAGAGTATTATAGAGCTATCTTTCTAAGTAATTTAAAGGACTTAAGGATAATAAAAAGAGATAAATTAGTAAGGGAAATATATATAAAGTTATTTATACCTTTTTCTTATATATTAGGATTAAATATACCTTATTATATATTAAAGGTATACTATTAAGAAGCTTCCTAGTCTTTTTTATATATTTTAATTTAGTAATAATGCTATAGTTAGGGCATGCTATGCCTATAGCCTTTTATTTAAGCTGCTAAAGAAGGCAGAAGAGCTGCAGTAATAAAAAGAAGTTATTTATAAAGATATAATATATCTGCATTAATAGCCTTTTTAATAAGTAAACTATAATATTCTATATATTGCTAAGGGGGACCTCGGTTTATAGCTTTCCTTTCTTATTATATAGCTTTAGTATAAATAGCTTAATTATTATAGCTATATATAGTAATAACTTTATATATTAAAGTTATTATAAAAAAAAGCCTTATTATATAATAACCTAGACTTTAAAGCCCTTTAATATAGGCTTTCCCTTAATAAGTATTATCTCTTTTAATCTACCTATAAATAAGACTATATACTTATTTATAATTAAATTAATTTCTAAAAGATAAATCTTAATAAATACCTTTTATATATAATTAAATTACTTTTTAGCTACTTAAAAGGTCTTTAGAAAATTACTTTTATCTCTTATATTAAGCTTAATATAGTTAAAAGTATAGAAATACTATATAATTAGCTTAAACTTCTATAATAATATAAACTTAATAATTAAATAAAGAAGGTATTAATCTCCTAGGCTAAGGGCCTTTTAATAGTCCTTAAGGGATATTTCCTTATAAATTCTTAAGTAAATAAGGACCTTAAGCTATATATAAGCTATTATAATAGAGATGCCTTCTTACTTAAAAATATAAGACTATTTAAAAAGGGGGGTATTTTAGCTATTAATAATGGCATTTTTAAGTAAGTAAGTAACCTAGCTATTAATATATTTAATTTATAACTATATAAGGGAAATAGGTATAAAAAGCTAGAATAATTTAAGTAATTCCTTAGGCAGAGGGTTAATCCTAAAATTATAATATTCTAGGTTAAAAGGTTAAAAATTATCGCTGCAGCCCTCTTTAGGCAGAAGGTTAGGCACGCCAGTAAGGTTATTAGCTACTGCCTTTAAAGGCAGGGTATAAAAGCTGTTATTATCTATATAATCTTATATCTTTTAAGAGCTTATTATTTTATTTAAGACTTATTAGGGTTAATTTATATAAGGATTTTAATAATTTTAGTAGTATTAATTAAAGAAGCTATCTGATAGGAACTTTATATACCCTGCAGGTACCTGCAAAATTAGTCAGTAAAGTGGGGCTAGTGACATGTTTGAGGCCTTGTGCCGCTCAAAGAGATAGGTAGTCCCCTCAGAATTGAGCCCCTGGGGTCCCCCTCTTAGGCTGCTCACCTCCACTTTGCTCCGATCTCATCGTATCCAGCCAAGCTCTTTTGCCAGCGCCTTACAAGGCTATCCCTCTACGTGGAATCATTACTAATCCTCCTATATACCTTCCTTTTCCGGCCTGGACGTATACCGCTCCATATACAACTTTGGCATGGAATTTCTAGACCGACTGGGGGTTACTTGAGCTATTACTCTTCTCTTCATCTCTTGGAAGTGGATACTCATCGGCATAGTAGGTACTTGGTTCCGTAACCGGGGTCCCGAGTTGTACCGAATCCTTGTCTGACGGAACCTTATACCTTGATATTCATAAACCCTGAGCTATTTTATATGCCGCGCGCCTTACCTCACCTGTTCACTTTGAGACTTCATGATCACTGCCAGACTTCAAGTAGGTTTCTAGTGCAGAATTCTTTTCTCCTTTCATCTGTTGCGTAGAACGACTTCAATCTATGAGAAAGCTTGCTGTCTTGTGTCTGTTGGCAAGGAGCTCGAGTATTCTCTTCACCCAATGAACAACTGATTGGTGTTGCATGATAAAGTGCTACCAGACATAGGCTCATTTGAAAAGACGGCCAGGGAAGGTTAATTGACATTAGCTAACGGTGTGGGTTCGTCGGAAACTCATAGTCCTAATTCTTTAACTCAAATCGTGTCTTGACTTCCAAATAAAGAGGAATGTCAGCACGATGTTGAATGAGACATAGCTGGGTTCTTGTTGGCGGTATCACCGGTTGAAAGCGTGGCGTCTCGGATAACCCAACGGAATCAGATTCGATTCGTCGTCGGACTCGTCGCTGTCATCATTTGAGGATATGCCAAACTCGCGATTGATCCTTCAGCGTTCAGAAAAATAATTATGAAATCTATTCATTCCCTGATTCAAGGACTAAATCTCTCTCTAACTTGTGGCGTCTTGCTATCCCATCGGTCATAATCCTCCACTCTAAACTCAAAAATACCACTCCCCGGACGCTCCTCTACTGCTCGTATTCTCCTTTTTCCATCCTCATTCAGGTCGAGATCTATGCCCTTCGTCGTTTTGGCAATTGACGAGAAGGTCATCTCGCGGAGCTCGTTCACTCCATCCTGCCACATAACTATAAGTCCATATACTACACCCACCACTCCGACAATAAACGACGCCCCATACACCCCTATAAGGACCTGATGATTGTACAAGAAGTAACTGCCTGTGCGCATACGAATACATGGGTAATTCGTATTGGGCCCACCTGGACCCCTGCCTGAGAGCTCGTTGGGGTGTGAAGCCCATGCCACAGCAAGAAGCAACGGGTCTGAGAGAAGAGATATAAGCAAATCTTCATAGAGCTTTTGCACTGCGTTCTCAAACTCGGGAACTGGTAAAGTCTCGGGACGGGCGACCAGCTTTGAAGTTGTGATTTCTGAATGTGCAATTGGTCCTGGTAGCTGAATGGATCCTTGGAGAAGATCGCGGAGTTTCTTGCCTAGGGAGTGATACGCTGCTATTTTGCGGTAGTATTGCCAGTCCTCGGGGAAGACGTAGTTCTCCACGGGCTCGGCGAGTATGGGGTCGAGAGTTCCATCATTGGCAGACTCGTTAACGTATGTTGTGTTGATAACCTTTTGAATATAGTCTCGATTACTAACTTCGTATGATTGGCGGCCACCTGTATAATTCAGATTGACGGTATAGTTAGTTTCCCAATGCTCACAAGCAGTAATAACAGGTGTATAATCTTCATTCCAGCCCTCCATGCTGCGGTTCTTCGCATGCTTGGCGTCTATATCATCCACCTCAACATAACCCATCCAGAGTACTGGCTCTGTCCTGAGGGCACCTAGGTTCTTCGGGAACGGAGGCTTTTGCACTGGTTTGTTGTTCTCGTCGACTGTAATCTGACTAGTCTTGTATTCACCCAAGTCTGAAATGCTGTAAAAGCTGGCGTTTCCGGCGGGTATCATAACCGTTAGGTTGAAGGGAGTAGTGTAATTTTTGAAGCTGCTCATTGTCGAGTTGGCACCTTGGGCGAGCTGCTCGCACTTGTACCCAGGCCCTAGAAAGTGGATGGTCGTAGAGCAGTCCCATCCTTCTCCACAGATCTCCATAGCTACGTCGTCTCTCTGAATCGGCTGACCTCCAGCCAAGACCCTGGAAGCGATGGAATCCAGCGGTGGAGCAGCCTTGAGCCAGTAATCGAAATGATAAGGGGACTTCCTGTCTGCCATCACCTCGTTAAACATCGAGATGGAGATTCCGCGCATGGTCTCATTCGCAGCTCGTTTATCATCGTCCCAGCTTTTCTTAGCGTCATTGCTAAAGTTGAGTGTTCTGACAGATGTGCAGTTTGACTGTTCGCCTCTCGTGTCAGTTACCACGTTGAGTGTTGCCGAAGTAAAGATGACCACGATAGGTGATAGCCAAATGTATATGGCAAGGATCATAGCAAAGGACGACTTCTTCCACGCCTCTCTATTAAAGAGCTCAAATGCATTGTGAGCCGCGCCGAAAAGAGAGTCAATAGCATGGACTGTATAGCTTTTTCTGCTAACAGCTCTCCAGGCGACTTGCTGGTGAGCTGCTAATACAGCAACCACTAAGCTAGCTTTTGCAGTAAAGGCTAGGAATTGACCCAGTCGGAGCCACCATTGCTGGTTTGTAGCTATGCGATTGTGGAGGTGAGTATAGAGAATATGATGACCGATGGCCGCTGCAGCCCCAAAAACGAGGCATACCACCATGCACCACTTATTTCTCACAAGCCTCAACCACGATGGGTCTTTTGGAGGTTGCGTTCGTATACTGGGCTGGTAGACACCCAATCCAGCGGACAAGTTATGTGCTCGATCAGCGGCTAGCAAGTCCACCTGGCTGTGTTCTCCGCCGCCCGAGGCAAACGAGTCGTGCAAATTAGGGCTGAGTGGATCATACGGATGAGTACTAAATTGTAAGCCAATTCGAGGAGAATCAACTTCAGACCGGGGCGACAGGTATGAGCGCTCTCTGCCGAAGGTGGTACTGGCAGGTGATGGGGCAATGTTGGGCTGGTCTTCGAGGTGAGTAAGACCGATGCTCTGGTATTCCTGGGATGATCCAGAGGGAGATATAGGTGCAGCTCGCCTCATCTTGTCCATAGGAACTAACAGCCAGGACTGAGGGATCTGCCGCAAAATGAAAGCGTAAGATCAATGGATGAAACGCAGAAGGGGTATTGAATGGCTGTGAATGCTCAATGACTTTTAATCTGAACATGTGTTAAACACCTAACTAGCACCAGCCCTGCCTTGAGACATTGGAGTGCTAGCTATGATCTTTTTCTTCTGATTTCCAATGAACAGAGAGAAATCAGGCTCTGGTTCTGAGGCTGAAAAAAGGGCTGAGCGTTGACAGATTTCCGGCCCCCAATGCAACTTTACGTAATGCACATATTAAGTGTAGCAAAAAATCCCGCAATACATATATCGATAGAGTCTGATTAAATAATTTTTAACCACTTAGTATGTTAAACTTAGAATTCAGGTTAAGATTTGTCTTATACTTTACAACTTTTAAATAACTTCGGGCATCGCTCCCCCAACCTTCTCTGGCTTGAAGATCGAGAATGTTTAACTGCCTCCAAGATTCAGAGAACAAAGCGCAGGATGGGCCGCGCGTTGTAAGACTGGGGCAGTGCTGACTGAATTGGGCCTTGGCGTAAGCTGTGAGGATGCAGTAATCTCCAATTTTGTCTAACCGATATAGACCCTGGCGACCAGTGAGTAGATTTGGTCAGGAATGGCATAGCTGCTTTCTCCACGGGAAAAGAGGTAAGAGATAACTTGGAGTTGCATGAGCCACCCACCTTTCATCATCATACCCAGTCTGCAAGCAACCCTTAAAGCAAGGGCCAAAGAACCTTGCACCCACCATAATTCTGCTGGATCGTCGATATAAGTTCCTTACCGTTAAAAGCTTGCTTCACGAAACAATTGTAACCTTGAACTTGGTCCAGAGTTAAGTCACAAATGCAAGTTTGTCTTTGTGGTCTTGTTATGGCCCGTTTTTTGACCAGGGATTTGTCGTAATCCTGCCGCGGCGGCTTGACTGATTCATTGAGAAGTCGAAGCGCACATCATATACCGTCCAGTCATCCACTACCGACCTTGCCCCCTCTCCATCTCATATCGAGCGATATCAGTACAGAAGCACGAAAAATCTTTGACCGACTTCTTTCAATATTGCTTTGGAAGGAAAGGTCATAGCAATCACTGGAGGTGCCCAGGGCATTGGGTTAGCAACTGCACGACTTGTTGCAAGCAGAGGTGCCAGTGTTAGTATTTTCGATAGCAATCCAGTGACACTCGAAGCAGTAGAGGAGGAATTCAGCACAAACAAATGGCCCATTCACACATTTACGGCAGATATTCGACAAGCTGACAAGGTCGATGCTTGGATCGAGAGTGTTTTTGAAGAGGTTTGGCCGCCTCGATAGCGCCGTTAATGCCGCGGGAACCGTTGGAAAGTTTCATGGCCAGAAGCCAATAGCGCTTTTCGATGATGATGATTGGAACCTCGTTATGGGTATCAACGTCAACGTTGCGAGACCTTCCACCCGGTGCCTTTCGACCACTTATGGATTGTCCTGACAGATGGCTAAATGGAATGATGCACTCTCTCCGTGCCGAGCTCCGGCATATGCAGCCTGGAGGAAGCATCGTCAACATCGCTTCCAACCTAGGCTCAAAGGGTGCTCCAGGTTACGCCCCATACGCAACCTCTAAGCACGCTGTTATGGGACTGACCATGAGTGCCGCCCATGATTATTGATCTCAGGGTATAAGGATTAACGTCGTGTCTCCCGGTGGCACTCAAGGGCCATTGATGAGAAGTGTGGTTGGTGATAACCCTCCTCCGCCTCTCTCGGTCTTGGGAAAGTATGGACAGCCTGAAGAGGTCGCTTTCCAGATAGCCTGGCTTCTTGGACCTGAGAGCACTCATAGTTCTGGAAGTGTTTTCCGCGTTGACGGTGGAGAGTTTTGTTGATCATATTGGATGTATGTCTGCTTAATAAGAACGTTTAAATGTACTGAAACGTAGCTATTGTTTCAAGTGGATCTGAGGTGTTTCCAAGTTGCAGGGCAGGGAAATGTCCCTACGGAATCGGTAGATTGGCCACTAAATAACATCTCATGGGACTCTCTATCTCGACAGGCGGATTTCATTTCCAGATTTCTGGTAATCTTCAGTTCTTGGTCTAGCCCGTTTTTCCAATTGTTTAAGTTACAGTCACCAATAGGGAGTTGAACCTCAACCGAGGCTGACTAGGCCCGTAAACCCTCGAATCAGCGGCTTCCATTGACTGCATATCCATGTCTCTGGGCCCTCTCTATAACGATCAACACCTCCCTTCTCTAGTAAACAAACCGATGCAGCTACTGTACCTAAAATAATGGGTCGATGCAGGTCCGCAAATTAATCCGGCAACCAGCTCGTGGCGAGTTTGCTCAAAATTCGAGTCGTAGCGGTCAAACACAACAAGCCTCCGACCTCGTTAATTATCAATCATCCTCTCCTGCCCGTCATGCTGAGCAGCACGGTCCTCAGCTTGCTATCTCTAGCAGCCTTATGGTTCGACCCTGCCACCACGGAAAAGAAGACCGAGTCCGGCTGCGATGCACTCAAGCATGCCTTTCCTGACAAGACCTTTTACCCAAAGGACGCAGTCTACGAGTATGAGTCGCAAGATTTCTGGTCCAACAATGAGATCCTAGACCCAGCTTGCGTCTTCCGCCCTACCAGCGCAAAGCACGTTGCTGAGGCAGCCAAGTTGATGGGTGCCGGTCATACATCCTTTGGTCTACGTGGAGGCGGACATATGGCCATCGCAGGCGCCAACAATATCGATGGAGGTCCGCTTTTCGTCATGTCCAATATGACAACCCTTGAGTTGGCCAAAGACAAAGAGTCGGTTTGGGTTGGACCTGGCTTGGATTGGGGTCAAGTTTATCGCTATCTAGCGCAGCACAAGCTCGCAGTTGCTGGTGGTCGTCTTTCTGCAGTCGGTGTACCAGGTCTGCTTCTGGCGGGAGGTATCAACTTCCATGGGAACCAACGAGGATGGGCAGCGGATAATGTGCTCGAATATGAGCTTGTGCTCTCCAGCGGCAAGATCATATCAGTCACTTCAAAGTCACATCCGGATCTCTTTTGGGCTCTCAAGGGCGGATCTAACAACTTTGGCATTGTCACCAAGTTCAAGCTCGCCACGTTCCCATCGGATCAGATTTACGCTGGTATCTACAGTGTCGCTGATATACCTGGGTTCTTGAAGGTGCGAGGCAATATGAATGAATCACTTGATCAGGACTGACAGAAACGCAGGCTGTGGCAAATTTCTCTGCCTTCAATACTGACCCCCTCGCACACATTGTTCCTCAGGTGATTGCAGTTGATGAGGAGACGACTATTGGCGGTGCAATTCTCTTCTACGACAGCGATTCAGATCCGGAACCTGAGTGCTTCAGGCCATTCTTCGACCTTCCCGCTATTTCTAACACGTTTGAGACGAAGACTCTTGCCGAGTTTTCGGATGAGACTGGCCAGCTCGTGACTCCGAAGATCAACGACCAGTTCATCGCCGGTACCACTACGGGTAAAACATATGAGGAGCTACTCGAGGGAATACAGCTTGTGAACGATGGCTTCCTCAACGCTCTTCCCGACTTGTACAAGGTCCTCCCCGCCAAGGACCGTGTGCTCATTTCTGTTGACTGGCAGCCTGTGGGATCTCTCTGGACAAAGGCTTCTAAGAAGTACAACCCTGGGGGTAATGCCCTGGGCTTGGATATCGTGAAAAAGGGCACATACATCGCTTGGGCAGAGGTTGTTGAGTGGAGTGGCGATGAGCATAATAATGCCGTATTCAAGTGGATTGAGGACACGACGTGGGCAATTGCTAATGCCACGCAGAAGGCTGGCCTATATGATCCTTTCACCTACATGGGAGACGCAGCCGGGTTCCAGAACATTTATGATGGCTATGGGAAGGAGAATAAGCAGAAGCTGCTTCAGATCTCTCGCAAGTATGATCCTTCTCGGATCTTTCAAAAGTATTGGCCAGGTGGCTTTAAGATTGGACAGTAGACTCGATATCCATTAGCGTACCCATAGGGGATTAATGTCGAGAGCTGTATTTACATATGATGGGCAACATCTAAAAGAAGGATGTCATTCCTGAAGTAACTAAAGCAAAGACTAAGAAAAAGTATCTACTGATATAACTAATTGATTGGGACAGGATGATCTGAGTTCTTCCATTGATCTTAGCATCAATGAAAGCCTTGCCGGCTCCATTTGCAGTGATAGATTCTCCAGTGCTGACAGAGTACTGCTGGCCGGGAACCAACCGCTCGAAGCCAAGTTTAAAGACGCCTGCCTCTTTTCCGTTGTAGATAACAAGGTCAAGCTTCTTTCCATCCTCGCTGTCAGCTTTGGCGACGAGTACTTCTGGGAAAGGCGCATCCTCAAGGATCGGGCCACTCAGTGCTTCCTTAGAAGGTCCGTGGGGGGTAGCGTTGGCCAAGTCGCGCTGCTTGACAAGACGAGCCATCAGGGCAATCACCTGAGTAGTTGTTGAAAGGCCCTTGTTGCGAAGGGAGCCTGTCTTGGTGGCTTCGACGGGGAAGTAGACGTTGTCAGGCTGCTCGAGTGCCTCCTTGCGAACCTTCTCGTCACCGAACTCAGCAGCTATAGCGGCGATGAAAGCTCGGAGAGGACCCTCGCCGGCGCGGTAGTTACCGGGGTCCACCTTATTGGCGCCCTTCAGGTCTCTGACTACCAGCTTGCCTTTTCCGCCATACTTGATAAACTCCTTTCGGATCATGGCCCAGTTGCGGTGAGCAAGGTGAGGGAGGTATGCGGTGAGGAGCATGGCGTTGATGCAGTCGGTACGGGTTCCGCAGAGACCAGGAGGCTAGATACCTTTAGTCAGCTGGCTGGACTGACAACGATATTATGATGAGGGATCTACTTACAGTGAGACCTGTGAATTCACTACGGATGGGGAGGATGCGTCCGTCACACTCAGTAAATTCCTCTTCAAGAGAGCGTTCAAATCGGTTCCTGAGCTTCTCTCCGCAGTCGCGGCCGAGGATGCGACAAGAAATGACTAGTCCAGCCATACCGGTGAGACTAAACGATTCATCAGCATATACGTCTTGGGATTTGTTAACGGGTATGAGTACGTCGAGTTGTTTCTAGCATCTGCCAGAATTGGGTGTCCTTTCGTGGTGCTTAACACGACAAACTCACCTCATGAGCTTTGCTCCACTGTGGCCCGTAGCGGTCAGTCAACGAAGGTCGTGGATCTTGCGTCATTCTAATTAATGTTTCACAGACTGTAAGGCGTTGTTTATTGTGTCGTCTATCGGATCTATAAAAGCAGATGCCCATGTTTACCAGGTTGCTACAACGGTAGAAGTCGGAGCATGTCTGGAGCAGCTTATTATGTTGGATCGATCTCCGTCCCGGGAACTGTTTAACTGTCATAGATATGAGGACTTCCTAACTGACGGCACTAACGCATCTATAAGTGACTCAGAACTGAAGAAAGCAGAGAGTCATGTTCAGCCTTCGGACGTGTTGAATATGCAGTTTACTTCTGGTGAGACATTTACCATCAATCAGTGCGTCGTATTGTTTACCTTGAAGGTTCTGACAGTTCTTGAGGTACCACCGGCCTGCCGAAAGTCTCCATGCTTATACATAAGTAAGATTCCATCTCTCTAAAACCGTCTTCATTCTACTGACAATCTATTCTAGCAACTTGCTTAACGATGGAAAATACGTGGGGCGCGCCATAAGACTCACCCAAGATGATATCGTATGCTGTCCACCGCCACTATTCCATTGCTTTGGCCTAGTGATGGGCTTCCTTGCTTCCTTCACACACGGGAGCACTATTGTGTTTCCTTCTGATAGGTTCAAAGCAAGGCAAACTCTCGATGCAGTCGAGGCACAAAAGGCTACGGCACTGCTAGGTGTCCCCACAATGTTCATATCAGAGCTGGAGCAGATGGAATCACAGCCTCAGAGGATCACAACAGTGCGCACTGGCCTTGTTGCTGGCTCGCCTGTGTCACCCTGTTTGATGGATGAATTGAGGGCCAAGATGAATATCCAGGGTATGCTTATTGCATATGGGATGACTGAAACAAGCCCCGTGGCCTTCATCACGTCATTGGGTGATAGGATGCTTACCAGTCTCGGTCGTGTTCTTCCCCATACCGCAGCAAAGATTGTCGACACGGGAGGAAACATTTTTGCCATCGGCGAGCGCGGAGAGATCTGCACTACCGAGTTTGCCTTACAAAAGGGATACTATAGAGACGATATCAAGACACAGGAAGCCATGAGACTGGATGAGAATGGCGTATCGTGGATGCATACTGGGGAGGAGGGTTACCTGGACGAAGAAGGTTACGGTTTCATCACTGGCCGCATCAAAGATCTGATCATTCGAGGTGGTGAGAATCTATCTCCAAGCGAGAGTGAAAACCAGCTGCTACGTCACCCAGCTATAAGAGACGCTTGCGTGGTGGCAGTGAAGGATAAGATTCACGGCGAAGTAGTCGCAGCCTTTTTACAGGCGTGTTCACATGAGAAGAAACCATCAGATAAAAATATCAGGGATTGGGTTTTACAGGACCTGAGCCCCGTCAAGGTGCCGGTATTTATCTTCTGGCTTGGTCACGATGGCGTGGATGTTGAGTTGCCCAAGACAGGAAGTGGAAAGTATCAGAAGCATATCATTCACGATATTGTGAATCATTTAGCAGAGACAAGAGGCAGGACAAAATAGGTGTTTAGTAGTAATTTAATTTATACTAGTTCTTTATATTATTAGCTTAAATAATAGCTTTAGCATTATACTTTTATATATTAATATTAATATTAATTAGTTTATAAGTTTATTTATTTTTATTTTTACTTATCTTAAACTTATTATATTTATTATAATACTTAATATAGTAATTATTAATAAATACTTAGTATTATTTATAAGGGTATTGGATTAGCCACTCGGAGGCGAGAGGTCTCTGACCTCTCGCACTATTGTTCTTCCGATCCGACCTCCTGAGCTTACCTCGGATTGCAGAGCCCAGCAAGGAAGCTCTGCAAGTTGAAGTCTAGCAATATAATCGAACCTACCTATTATCTTGAGGTCACCCTGACTGAACCATCCTTTTACATATTTTAATTATTATTATAGTTATATCTTACTTATATTATAAAATTTCTTATATAAATTTAATTATTAAGGTATTAATTAAAAAGGATTCTACTAACTACTAGAGCTAAATATAGAAACGCTAGGGCCCCACAAGTTTTCACTACACCATTCTTTGCCAAATCTCACACAGCGGGGTAAGTGACAAAATTTCCCTCATACCACTCCATCTAGTTTCATTGAAGCTGATTGTCATATCAAACTCTACAATACCACAAAATGTCAGCTCCTACGGACCCAAATACGCAAATGCCGCCTAGAGACGAGACCGAATCATGCAGTCGCCCAACGCATCATTTGCAAGAGATTAAAGTCGGAGATAACAGCGTCCAGCTCTTGGTATCAACAAAAGACCACCTCTATGACGCTAAAGACGTTGTAGCTGGAGTCGACTCTTATCAAGTTATTGGTTCTTGGGAAGACAGCTCAGTCCAGGAACTTACCAAGGTCTTGAACCAACGCCAAGTCATTACAAATCGGCAGTCACCCGCATGCGTTGAAGCATCTCGCTTTGAGAAACATGGAGCAGGAAAGTCTCTGGCAGAGGCTGGTCGGGAACAACACAATAGGACTGTGAACGGGCCGCAGAGGAGCGAATAGAACTATCTTGTTGATTGCGTATACCCTCCACTTACACATTCCTCGTCTACCGTGCCTTCATTGCGCACATATTGCCGCTGGTTCTGGGATCTCAGCACTTCGTTGAGACTACCCTCTGAAACAGACCCAAAGAATTGAATAGATCCATGACCGGCCCTAGCTCCCTTGATGTTGAATAGGTCCCCTAGTGTAGACACGCATATTTGCTTTCCATTGTTTCCGACGCTGATATCTTCAACCACGTGCACCCTTCCTGACGATGCCCATTCCGATGCCCGATCACAGACACTTAAGCACTGTTTCGTGCTTTCCAACTCATTTTGAAGTGTCTCGCGATTCGCACCAGGATCGATTTTCTGATTCAAATCTTGAACCAAGGACCTAAGCCGGAGATTCTCTTCGGTATTATCACGGTGCGATTCGAGGCGGTCGATGGTGTCCGAGAGATTGTAGCTGCACGTCTTGAGGGTGGAAATAGTGAGGGAATCAGCAAGTGTCATGTTACCAGCTGAGATAGACATGACAGCAGTATTCGAGGCAGACTTAGTAAGAACAGGTTGAAAACTCATCCCATTGATTTCTTCAAAGAGATGTTTCAAATACTCAAGGCATCGTTCTGTACTTTCTTTTTCGTTTTCGAATTTCCGGAGATTGGCTTGGCCTTCGGTAGCTTCGGTCGTGGCGGCCTGAGATACTATGTCTTGTAATTTGGAGTCGATGTCTTTCAGATGCTTCTCCAGATCAAGCTTAGTGTCGCAAATCAAGTTTTTGTAATCATTCAGAACTTCAAGGGTAACCTTGGAGGAGCGCCTGGAAGCAAGTTAGCGAAAACTTTTCTCTTGGGGCGAGCAACTAACAGGTTGGCGTCAGCTAGCGCTATAGTTATCGTCCCTTTGTAACCGGCTAAGAGTTCTTTAAAAGAAACAATATCGCCATTCATGTACATCAACTTGGCCCAATCTCTCAAGCTTGTTCTTGCCTCGGCTCGAGTGCGCCTGCTGTTATTCTCGATCAGGATTTGGAAATCTTCACACGCCTGTCGGCACTGAATGAGGGGAACTTTGAGCGGTAAAAACGCGGTCTCGTTGGTGCGCACATGATCTTGCAGCGGTCTGAGAACTAATTCAAGATCTTTGAGTTCGCGAACAAGATCTAGCACTGCAGCTCGGTGGTTTCGGAAGCTTTGGATAGTCTCATAGAGTATTTTGCTTGATTGCAGGGTTGCGGTGACAACGGCGATTAGTCCTGACGCTACACTTAGCGGATCGCCCATGATAAGTCACCGCTTCGCGCGTGAGGCCTAATTCCCTAAAACGTTAAGTATAGATGCTATATAAAGTACTCTTTCCTTAATGTTTTGATTTTGACCTTGAAACAAACCGAGCTAGGCTGAGGCATAAAGAAGTATCGGCTATCCTATGCGGGGTAAATAAAAGCCGTAAATTCTACAAGCTCCACACTTTTTGGCGAGTATTTAGGTAGTAAGACTTTAATTAGGTCTATTATATAAGAGAGTGGCCTATATAGTAAGTATAATTAAAACTAAAAATAACTTAGTAGAGAAATAAGTAAAAGAGAAAAAAGTTATATCTTAATATTAATAGGATATAGCTGTTTAGAATAGTAATAATATATCTCTTCTTTTTATACCGTACCTAGCATAAATACACCACGTCAAGTCCATTATATCCCGCACTGCTTACATCTGCTCCTCCAAAATGTACATTGACCTATAAAAGCTAGTTGCACCACAATATAAATTGTATTTGCGATATATATTACCGCTTCTTCTACCACTTCAGAATGTTCATCCAGTCAGTCTTGGGTGTTTTAACACAAAAGAGCTTAGATCAGAGAGCTCAGTGCAATGCAAGGTAGAGCCACATTAATAAGGCCGCCGCTAGCCTGCGTTGTGTTAGTTTCTTGGTCGGGTCTGTGAGAGGGAATTACTTTACAGTAGAAGGACTGTTCTGGCAGCAAGCCACATTGGCACCGCACTTCTTTCCCAGAAGGCCATCAAGAATGCCGACAACATTAAGACTGAGATCAGAGCATCCATCAAAGAGAGTCAAATCGTCAAGGAGTCCCAGGCCATCTTCTGCAGCATTTTTAGCAGGCTTGTTGGACACCTTGTTGTAGCATTGGACAGTCATGTCATTACCACAGGTATTTTGGGCTCGTGAGACAGTAAGCTCCTTGACAGAAGAGTGTCGGTTGCCCTTGAACTTTGAGGCAGCAGCGGCTGAGATAAAGAGAGTGATGGCAATTGAGGGTTGCATCTTGAAGTATTACTATGTAGAAGTAAGATTGGCAGTCGGGAAATTTTTGAATAAGATAAGTAGGTTAATTGTAAAGATGTAAACAATATTGCAACTCGATGAATGATGTTATAGAATCGCCCGATGTCCAGAGCATCTATCCATACTTTTATACCTTAGAAAATACCGAGATTGTTTAGATTCCCCTTAATTACAAAATTCAATACTCGGCTTAAGATAGCTAAATGTCTTAAAATTGTGTACTAAATACACATGTCCTTGCATAGAGAGACGACTCCTATGGGGCAAAAAATACATAATATATTATCTAATAATACATCCCTTATAGTAAATACTCCTAGAGCAGTTGCCAAGACACGGGACGCTTAATTAGGTTTAGGATAGTTAAGATATACCTATTTAACAGTGCTGCCCGTGAGACGTAAAGGCACGGGAACACGGAGTAAATATCTCTTTAAAACCTAATTTAGCAGGTTTGATTCCGGATCTCTTATATATTAGTAAATATAGGATTTCCCTAGGCTTTTATACTTATAGTAAAGGCAACTTAAGCTAGGATTCCCTTATAGTAGACGAAATTATAAGTATGCCTATTTAACCTTAGGCTTCTTAGATGCTTTAAATACTATCCTGGCCAGGGCTTGTTTAAACAAGAGTATATGCGCTGTGAAAGCCGGAATAGATAAGAGTACGCAATTAGACTAACTCACCGCCACCCCACACACCCCCCGTCCCCGCATACCCGTAATAGCATTACAACCGAATCTATAGATAACTTCAATTAATTCTATAATAATGAGTATTTATTTAATTTAATTAAGAGTTTAAAAACTAATTTATAAATATTATATCTATAGTTTATATTTTTAGTAAATTCTTTTTATATTATTTTCTCTTATTTCCCTTAATCTTATATAATATATTCTTTTTAGCCTAATTATAAGCTAAGATAATCTATTTAATTTTAAGGAAAGCCTTATTAAGGTTAAATTAAATAGTAACTTAGCTAGTAGGCTCTCTTACTGCTATTAATGCCTTTAGTATTACTTTTTCCTTTTCTAGGTATTAAATTTAATTATTTTTCTAGTTAATATATTTTATTACCTTCTTTATAATATAATTAAAGTTATAAATAAAAGTATTTCCTTAACTTTATATAGCTTTTAGTTATTTTTAAATATTAGCACTTCCTTAAGGTATACTTTAGATTATATTAGTAATTACTTAGACCTTCCTTAATATTATAGGCCTATTAAAGTACTTATATTTCTTCTCCCTTAGCTTTAATACTGCTAATGCCTTTTATAAATTAATTAGGAAAAGCCTAGAGGCTAAGAAATTACTTATTATATTCCTATAACTTAAGGCTTTTAATAAAGCCCTCTTATAAGCTTTTAGGAAGAGTTATTATTAGTATGGCAAGGTTGCTTTATATAAGGCCTAAGAGCAGGTAAACTAGTAATAATATATTTTTAATAGCCTAAATATAGTAATATTAAGTAGTTAAGTAATATATAATAAATATAAAGGTAATTAAAAGAGCTAAATCTTATATAGCTATGCCTTTTTTATTAATTTTACTATAATATATAATTTATACTAGTTTAGGATTAATAGTTTTTATTAATTAAGATCCTTTAGCTTAGTTTATAATATAAATATACTTATAAACTAATAGATAAAGATATTATTATTAAACTAACTAGTTAAATTATAAGTATACTTCTAATTAAGAAAAATAACTAAAAATTACTATCCTTAAAGGTTCTTACTAATAAAAATAATATAAGGTATAAGATACTAATTATTTACTAATATAGATTTAATTATTAACCTTTAATGTAACGGTTGTACAAGCCGTTAAGCCACAGGGCAAAAGATCAGGCCATAATCGCTATGCAAGCAATTATAGGTATGCCACAGCTACCTTATAGAGCCTTATAACGCTATTACGGGCACGAATCGTAACATTTAAGTTATATTATTAAATTTTATCCTCTTTAAAAAAGAAGGTATTATTATTCTAGCTATTATATTACTATTAGTCTTACTAATTTAAATACTAGTCTTATTAATATTATATATATAAGGCCTAGTTATCTTTTTTATATTAACTACCTAATTATAACTATTATAATACTTAAAAAGTAATTCCTTTATTATATAATACTTTCTTATAGATTTTATAACTTATAATAGCTTTAATTTTATACTTAAATAATAAGTAAAGAATCTATTAACTTAGTTCTTAATATAATAGACTTACTTATTAATTAATAATAATACTTATATAAAGTTATAAATATCCTTTTTTATAAGAGGCTAAAAAGTATATTCTTATTTAATAATATAATTAACTAAGTTATCTTCTTATTTTATAGTAAGTAACTAATCTTTTTAATATATTATATAAATATCCTAGCCTCTAGCATATTAATTATATAATATTAAAAGCTTAATTAAGTATTTTACTACTAAGGGCTATAAACTAATTATTTCTATATCCTTAATAGCTAATAATATCCTCTTTTTATAATCTAATAGCTGCAATTCTATTACTATTAAAATAAAGAAAAATAGATTTTATTTAATAAATATAAAATAAAATAAAGAATCCTGTATTAATGATGCATTAATGGTGTTAAAGTGTGCGGGGATAGGGGGTGTATGGGGTGGCGGTAAGTTAGTCTAGAATATTATTTACTATAGCGCCTAATAAGTTAATAATATCCTCTTTCTGCAATTATAGAGATAATATTACTATCTTTGGGTTAGGATAGCTTCCTGTATAAGTATCTTACTTAACCTCTTACTTTGCCTGGGTTTTATAAAACTAGGTCTTAAGGAAAGGCTAGTAGGGCTTTAGTAGGATTTAGTAAACTTTTCTCTTTTAGTTTAAATTATTGTTTAGTAATAGATAAATTAATATTTAAAAAGTTAGATTAGGTATTTATAAATATTAATAAGATCTTTTATATTTAATTCTTTAGTAATTATAAATATATATTATTATTTAGGCAGTAAGTAATTAAGTTATAAAACCTATAGTAAGTAAGTAATAATAATATAATATATTTTTATTAATAATTTTTAAGTAAGATAATATTCTTAGCTATTCCTATTTAAATCTATATAACTTATAAGGTAAAGACTCTTATTAATTAGTTTTAGCAGATATATAAAGGATTACTATATTTAAAATTTATTCTATCTTAAAGAGTATAATATAAGTAAAGTCTAATCTTCTTATTAAAGCTATTTAGTTTCTAATAATAATCTTCCCTATATTCTAGGGGTTTATGCTTATATATATATTAGTATTAAGTACTTTACTCCTTAAAAACTAAATCTAATATCCTCTTTGCTTTCTTAAGTGCCTTTAAAATAAAAGATTAAAATAAATTTACTAACTTAAGGTTTTTTATTTCTAATAACTTAGCTTAATTACTAGGTTACTTAAGATAGGTAATAAAAAGTATTAAAAATATATTATTTATAATATTATAAATTAACTAATAGAAAAAAAAGGCAAGATAAATAGTTAAGAATAGCTATTTATTATTAATTTACTTATTAGAAGTCTTTTATTATATTACTTTTTAATTTATATACCTTTATCTTTATAAGAACTACTTTATATATATTTATATTTAAGGTATATTATATTAAGGAAGATAAAAACCCTTTTTACCTAATCTTAAACTTAATGCTATTATAATAATCTATTATATTAATATTCCTATAACTAGGGTATTTAAAGCTATTTAAATTTTACTATTTCTTTAAGTATATTTCTATTTTATATTATCTAGATAAGGAGCTATAATGCCTAAATTTATTACCCCTAATAAAATAAGGCTATATTAGGTTAATATTCTTATATTACTAGCAGGGCATTTTAAAACCTATAAGATGCCTATTATAACTAACTTAATCCTTGCTATAGCTTACTAATACCTGTTTTCTTTACTTTTATAATCTTATCTAAGGTATTATTTACTACTTTATACTTTATTTATTATAATACTTAATAACTATACTAATATCTAATAATGCATTATGTAATAAGCTAATTATTATATAAGAAGTATTAGGATAATATATAAAATAGGCATTATAATAAGAATTAATTAGGCTTTTATAAATAGAATTACTAAAAGGGGTTTATAAGAAACTTATATCTCTAATATGCCTACTTCTTTTTACTTAATAATATTTATCCTTTAGAATACAGGTAATAGTTATACTATAGCTAGGTACCCCTTAAGATTAGGGCTTAATAAGGTAAGATATAAGTATAAAGTTATCTTAAAGGCCCCTAATTAGAAACTTGGAAATTAAGGAAATTTAATAGCTAGTAATAAGTATAATAATATATAGCATTAGTTATTAAAATAGAAAATCCAAAGCCTATAAGATAATAAAAGGCAGATACCTATATAAGGGTTAGCTCTTAGCCATAGCTATTATAGTACTAGATATATATTATATATCTTAAGTATACTATAAGATAGATTTAATAGATTATAAAGCGAAACCTGGTGATCTTATTAAGTAAAGTCTTAATAATGCCTTATCTTGCTTTATTATTTTCCATAGGGGGGTATTAATCTGTTTCCCATACCTATGCCGCTATATGCTATGAATATAGTTGTACTATATATGGCTGCATCTTAAACTGCACGCAGGTGTCAGTCTAACACAAGGTTATCCCCAGTCGTCTTTCTTCGCGTGTAGCAGATAATTAATTTAGTATAGCGTTGCTCTTCGTTAGCAGCAGGCTAACGATACTGGCCTTCAACGTTACGGTCTCCACCCGCACCGCATTTAACTCTATCCAAATCTAACAGATACAACTACTGGCGCCATGAAAGTCAGTCGTAACCTGGTTTTATAGGAGTGCGGCAAAATAATCAACTCCACTAAAGTTGATTTTGGTATATATGACTAGGCGCAGTCGAGGCTTCTATAGACTTGGGTCTTTCTACTTGGCAGCTTACGACTACAAGAAAATGAAACGAACAAACACATCACGCATGGCGATGTTAAATCGAAATAAGTGGCGCATCATTCGACGTCATAGCTGACTTTTTAAACTCTCCTAAACAACCAGTTATAGCACTCGGCCTATTATCTTATAGACAGACGTTGCTGTCAGCAGCCTTGCCATATTATTACGCCATAAGGAAGGATTATCTTACAGAGGTTCTAAAAAAATATAAAACCACTATAGGGGGTAAATAATATTAAAGTTAATTAATATTATTAACGGTAATATATAATTTAGGATTACTTATATATATTTATAAAGCCAAGCTTAGTATTTACTTTATTTCAGTTTAAGCCTCAGATACCAAGGACCAGGCCTAGCTATAGTAAAAATTAAATATACTAACTAAAGCTTAACTTAATTCTAGATATACTGCCTAATCTTTTATTAGCTTATTATAATTTAAGAAATACCTAATAACTCTTATAAAGTATTTTAGAAATCGCGCTGCTTTTACTATACTATTTATATTTATAATTAAAAGGAAAAACTAATATATACTTACTACTACTATAGTTATTATAATACCCTAAAAGCCAATTATTAATAAAATAATATAAAAGCTCTTTAATAAATTCAGGACTATTAGCAGTTATCTTGTTAAACTTTTCCTTAGTATCTAATAAACTTAGAAACCCGGAGAACTTCTCTTTAATAAAAGCTAGAGCATAATTACAAAGTCCTCGCGCAGAGGGTAGTATAGAGTTATAAACTTTAGATATTAAAAGAAGAAAGTTAGAAACGTTTAGGTTATTTACTAAGTATTCTAAGTATTTATTTACTAATAGGACTTTTAGCTCTTTAATATTATACTTATCTGCCAAGGTAAACATTACTGCATAAATTAATAAAACTGGAATTATATCTAATGCCTATATCTTCTTCGGATTCTTTAGTATAGTTACTAGTATAGCAGAACTTTACCATCCGTCGCACCATAGGCAAGAAATAAGAGTCTAGGCTATATAATTAGGTAGATGCCTCCTAGAACAGTGTTTTAGTTATTATAATAATGCCACAGAGAAGCACATAATACCTTTAATTTTCTAGTATATGCCGCGTAAAATACTAGGAAATAGCTGCAAATAATCACCCTATAAATAGGTATAATATGCCTTTTATAAGTAAATTTAAAGTTAGTAAACTCGCTATTCTCCTGCGCCCTATTAAGCAAGTTAGGATTTCTTTTATTTAGGAGACTAGAAGTATAGTTATACCTCGAAATATACTTTATAGCCCTTATAGAAATCATTACTATATAGCTTAAAGTTACTATCTAATTAATAAAATAAATTTAAATCTATAGCAAAGGTTATACTGCTAATAGGGTAACCAAGGCCAGCTCTTGCCTATATTAATAATCTATTACTATTTATAATTGTCCTTTTATACTTAGCTTAGCCTTATCGCTATTAATACTACTAAGAGACATAAGATAAGATAATTTATAAGGCTTAGAAGTTTGTAATTAGTAAATAATTGCCTATTAGATATTTAAAAAATAAACTCCCTCTTAATAAGAAATATAAAACTAAAAGCTTCTTATATAGATAGTATATTATTAATTTTATATAATAACCCTAGACTTAGCTTATAGAAATATTACTATAAATTAATATAACTACTTAAAATATTTAATCCAGGATGCCCTATATTAGAATTATTTTTATTATAAAGCCTAGTACTACCTGCTTACTTAAGAATATTATATAAAGTAGGATGTAGCATAAGTAGATAGATATAGAATAGGGGTTTATTAAAGGACTAGTATACTATATGAAAATGTCTTATACCTAACCCTAAAAAAGAAAAGAAAAAAGAAATAAGACTAAGACTAAGACTAATTTTATAAGGGACTGCTGGCCTATATAATTTAGCTATAAGAAAAAATAACTATAATATAATTATTAATATACTACTAGGTATAAAATAATAAGACACCTATAGACTAAAAGCCTTTTTTTTTCTAGTAATTAGTATTACTAGTATTTAGGAAAAAATAATTAATAAAGTTATAATTTAAATTAATATAATACTTAAATATTTACTAAGCATTGTTAAGAATTATATAGACTGCTTATTAATATAACTTATTACTTAAACTACTAGTATTACTAAAGGGTATTAGCTCTTATTCTGCAATATGCCATCTTATATTAATACAGGAAGCCAGATTAATAATAAATTACTACCTTAAGCTATATTTTTATATAGATTTAATATAAACTCTTTAATTAACTTATAAGTATAAGTAATAATAGTAAGATCTATAGCAGCCATAAATTCATTTAAGCTAGAGCTAATACTTATAACTTTAATATATTCCTTTAATATAGCTTAGAAGAGTAGTACTAATTAGGAATTATAGAATAAAGTACTTAATTACTAATATAATATATAGTAATACTATAAAATATAAAACGCCCCTTATAATATATAGGATATATTATACTAATACTAATTACTTATATAATATTATATACTTAGGTCTAGTTATAGGTTAGGTAATATTATATAGGCTAGCAAAGATATAGGCGCCTTAAATATAGCAGGTCTATTTTAAATATAGTTTCCCCTTTCAAGCCTCTTTACATATTCTACGTCACAGTATCAGCCACCTAATAAAGTATCCAGTTAGTAGTGCTGCTCCTTGAACGATAGGGCCGCAATATCTATGTCATATAAGAGTATAGACCAGACCAGAGAAATACCTTATACCTGGACTATGCGGCTAGAAAAGTCTTCTTAAACCGTTAATTAATTGATTAAGCTGTCTATTTAGGGCCTTTCTAATATAGCCTAGCTAATCTCTAAAAGAGTAGTAAAACATTATATAACTCTTCTATTTTAGGAAAAGTAGCTCCTTTAATTAAAATGCCTTATTAATTAATATCTAATAGTTTAATATATCTCCTTAAAATAATAAGATTTTATTACTTTAAAGCTATTATTAATTTAGTCTTTTCCGTTTATAAATTAAAATTTTATATTTTATTTTTAAGAAATATATTTTTTATAATATTTTATAACTTTAATTAATTTATATTTTATTAATATAATTATTTATAAGTTATTATTTTAATTATAAGTTTTTTTAATTAAACTTTTACTTTAAGGTTTTATATTATATTAATAATTTATTATAGTATAATTAAGTAATAATAATATTAATAAATTATAATAATATAATTATATACTAATATAATTAAGTAATAATATAACTGATTATTAAGTATATATTTTATAAAATTTAACCTCTTTTTAATTTAGAACTTTCTTTTTTTTAAAAAGTATTATAATAATTACTTAATATATAATATTTCCTTTTATATATTAATTCTTTTTATTAAATTTAATATTATAATTTAAGCTTCTTTATTAACTTTTAGGTAATATTTTCTAATTTATATTTAGCTTTTTTATATTTATATTTTTATATATTATATTTAATTCTAGCTTTTTTAAGTTATAAAATCCCTTATTTAAGTCTCTTTAAGCTAGCCTTTATCTTTATTACTTTATATAAGTTATTTTATAATTTAAATATATATTTATATTTTGTTTTTATATTTATAAGTTAGCCTTAAAAGGTATATTTAAGTATCTTTAAAGTTTAATATAATTTAAATATTTATTACCCCTATAACTAGTAAAGCTTTATTAAGTTAAATTATTATAATTAGCTGCCTTAATTATAGCCTAAACCTAGCTGCATATATGCCAGCTAAAAAGCCTTACCTACTTATTAACTAGCCCTAACCTTCTTCCTATAACCCACCTAAAAGGTCTTTCATCGACCTCTGCTGCATACCACGCTTTAATCATCTATTATGCAGTAAGTCATCCGACCCGAATACCTTCTGACCGCAACCGCTAACAGCATCACAGCTGCACCATCACGATATCTGCTATCTAAAGAAGCCTATAGCTACCTAATAAGGCCTTTTATACCAAAATGCCTAACCTAATCCCTTATTTTATAGCAGCTCTTAAAGATTATAAATATAAAAATAAGCTCTATATTATAATATTAGAGATTAAAAAGGCTTAGAATAAGGAGGATAATATTACCTTTATTAAATAAGCTGCTTTAGGCTATAAGGTTTTCTTACTTATATATTATTATTATAAAGAGCTAATAATCTCTAAAGGCTACCTTAAGGAGGAGATTAAGTTATTATAAAAGCTAAAATAATTCCTTATAATATAAAGGCTTATAAAGGTAAGTAATAAGGGATTTATTAAAAACCTTAAATTAAGGACTTTAAGTAAGAACTTATATAAATAATAGCTTAATAATATAAAGAAATAGTTAATAAAGCTAATAAAGGCTATAAAGCTAATTAATAGCTAGTAATATATAAACCAGGCTAGTTATAATCTTAAACTATAAGAGTATAAAGATAAGAGGGATAGTATACTATACTATGTAAGATAAAAGCGGGGTAATTGCAGGGTTCTAGGACTAGGAAAATAGAAGAAATGTATTAAGTTTTATATAAGTTTAGGTTACCTAAAGTTAAAGACTTAAAGTTATGAATTTGGCATTAATAGCGAAAAGAGGATTAAATAATTTATAAGATAGGCTATATAACTAAATAAGTAAATAAGCTATAATATTAATATACTATTAATATAAATAGGAAATAACTTATATATATATTTTATCTTTTACTAATTTAATTATAATTATTATTATAATAAAGCCTATATTAAAAAGGCTTTTTATATTACCTATAAGGTATAATAAAGTAAAGCTATTATTACTATTACTAAAATATATATTATTAGTTACTTTTAAGTTTACTTTACTAATAAAGGTAGTATTACTATTAAAAGAGTTTTGCCGTACCTTATTTATCTAAATACTATTACTTTTTATAAAAATAATAATAAGTATTAGAAATATTTTAATATATAGTATTATATATAATATATTACTAAGGGCTTTTATATAAAAATATAAATATTATAAATGTTTATTTTATAATTTATTTTACTAATTTAGCTTTTATTTTATAATTTTATTATTACCTTTCTTTATACCTTTTATTTTCTTAACTTTTATATAACTTACCTTAATATAATAAAAAATCTTTATAAAGTAAGTAATACTTTTTATACTTTTAAGCCTTTATTAATTATTTTATTTTTAATAAAATAATTAAAAAGAGAAAGAGAAGTAATATATTATAATAAAAGTTATATTAAAAGGTATAGCTTTTTAAACCTTTCTTAAGGCAGGTAATCCTTATATAGCTAAGTAGTAATATATTTGTTTATTTTTTAAGTTATTTTTAAGGCACTTTATATTATATTTTTTATCTTTAAGTATTTAGCTAAATAAAAATCTTTTTAAGGTAATACCTTTTATTTTTATATTTTACCTTATAAATATTATAATTTAAAATTGGCCTATCTTAAGTATTTTATTATAAAGTATTTTAAAAAGATATATTATAATAAATACTTTAATAGTATAAAAACTTATAATAATAATATAAGCCTTAAGTAGCCTTATAAAATCTAAAATAATATTATAAAATTTAAAATAGTATTATAAAATATACTATTAATTTTTAATTTTAAGTTTATAATTTTTTAAGAATTTTATTAATTATTTTCTTAATAACTTACTTATTTTAATACTTATTTATATATTCCTTAATATTAATTAATCTAAGCTACTTATAGCTCTCTTTTTATTTTTTACCTTATAATGCCTTTATAAGCCTATCTGCTATTAGCTCTGCACTTTTTATATAAGTAAGAAATACTACTTTCTTATATATATATTTATATAGCTAATAGTTATATATATTTATATATTTTAATTAAGTCTTTAGCTTTTAAAGAGGATTCTTAAGTAAATTAATTATTTATTAATTATTATATAAGAGTTATAAATCTATATTTAATAGCTTAATTTATAAGCCTTAAGAGCTCTTTTAATTAATACAATTATTTATAAATAATATATTATTATAAATTTTAAAGCCCTCTTTAGTATTAAATTATAACTTATAAAATTGAAATATATATAAGTAACTAAAAACTTAATTTACTATAGTAATATACTCCTTACTTAAATTAGTTATAAATCTTACTAATTTAGATATTATAAAAGTAATATCTAATCTTATAATTATACTTATATAAAAAAGGGATCTAATAGCTCTTTTATACTAACTTATAGTTTAAAGGTTTACTATTTCTTTATTTAATAAAAGTTCTTTTTAAGTTATTAATAAT